GGTCACAAATTGACCCCCCTGAACAGATGCGTCCCTGATCGCAACCTTCTCCTGGTCTCGCGGTTCCCTTAAGTTCCCACTCTGTAAAAGACCAGCAGTACAGAAAAAGCAATAGGCAATAACAAAGTTTTCTGCTGTCTGTTATCATGTCTATCTCTGGATGCAAAAAATTTATAAAAACTAGTAAAACACCATTAATGCAGCTTCCGTTAATCAATGCTTTTTTGGCTCCACAGTCGCAACGTCCTTCAACACAATCTCCAACGTCACACTCCTCACCAAGACGACACGTTTCTCCAAATGCGCGATATCTGCTGCGCTTCCCTGCTGAAACGAAATAATCGGATAAAAATACACAGATTTTTGAACGTCTTATCACTTCAAACCCACCTCTATCATTATCAGTTACAGGACTGCACCACCCATTGCCGGGTTCGTAACCAGGAATACAAGCACATACATGTAGGATACAGTCAGCATGCTGCGGACACGTGTCACTTTCAGGTTCACAACGTTCACCTAACAATCTATAACTGGCACTACCATTTTTTGGAGGAAAAGTTGGCCTAGCAGCAGGTAAAGTAAGAATAGCAGTCACTGGAGTAGGAGTTGTGAACTGTCTGCTGGGTATTGTTGGAGGAGAAAAAGGTCGTGGGTTGCCCGGATTAACATATGATGGTATAACTGCCGGGCTGTTGAAGTTTGAGCTTGTCTTGACAGTGTAAGTAACTGGTCCAATAGCAAAATTATTTTTGAGACTGTTACGATGGATATCCAAACGCTGATAATTTTGTTGCTGATTACCATCGTGGTTGACTAAAGCTGTATTCACTGTAGGAGAAGAATGAACTTGAGTATTAGTTTCAATCACGTTCAGATACGATGTATTATAGTTCCTCAGATAAGCTTGTTTACCATTTATTTCGAGATAACTTTTTGGCTGCAAATTTTAGATGAGTTAAAAACATTTAAATCTTTTTATTTTGTTATTAAAAAAGTATAATCCTTTTTTACTTTATAATTTCTAATGAAATTTTAGTACTACACAACGGCGATTAAAATTTACCCATGCGAAAAAAGAATCTTTTGAGGAAATATCTTTTGCTAGCTCCTCTAACGGCTGACATAAACCGTATTTGCTGAACAATTCTCCTGTTCTGCATTGACAAATGCTATCAATGCAAACAGAATTTTGTAGGCAGTAACTTTTACGTACGTCACAAGCGTCTCCGTAGTTTACCAAATGTCGTCTTTTAACGGCTAAAATAATTTTATGGTTTTTCACTACTCTTCTGCATTATAGAGTGTAGTGGAATTTGTATGATTTTTGTTAAAAGCTATTTCAATTTTCTAATTTTCATGAATAACGTTCTAGACTTTTTTTTTCTTATTAACCGGTTAAAAAATTGCTAGTTCTTTGGTAGTTCTGTCATCATCTTCTGAGCGACTTGCTTCTGCTATAAAATCGGAGTAAAATACTGTTCTCTTGATTAGGAAAAACTATACTGTACTCCAAGATTTTCATTATTTTTGTAGACAGACAAAAGAATGTTACTCTCCTAATTAAAGCAAACTTTGGTAAAATCTACAAACAAATTTCGATTAAGATGCAACTGTGCAGGATTTTCTTTTTGTGCTCTATTTCGGAATTGCTTTGCTTCTGTAGAAAATTGTAAGAGGATTGTAATAATTGCCAAAAGACGTTTTACAGTTGAAAGTCAAAATTCTTTCAAACGTCCGTAGAGCGACTGCAAGTAACAATGGTTCCTGCAACTCAGCTAATTCCGTAAATTCGTCTTTTTTTCCATTTTATATTTTGTCGGTTTTACAGGTGGTGTAGTTTTACAAGCTTTCAGCAGTCTGATTTTGAAAGCTGTTGTCAAACTGAGTGCAATAATTATTTAGTGTAATGAATAATGCTTAAATTTTTTTGGCAGTAGTTTAATGGCTGATTTCACAAGTGCGTATAAAGTCGATCGTCGTTTTTGCAAATAATGTGTCAAAAACTTTATTTGTAGCATCACTTCAATCACCGTTAGAATTGAGCGTGAAGAAAAAAAAACATAAGTAGTTTTAAAAAGCAGTCTCAACAAATGATACAAACACACACACCACATCAACACACAAACAAATAAAAGAAAAAAATTTTGTAGAAGAGAAAAATTTTACATGCAATGAGGTTTTTCTTTTGCTTAAACACTGAAATCTTATCTTGATATAATCCTATAATTTTGACTCTCCGACAAAAAAAGAAAAAAAAAAAAAAAGTAAAATTTCTAAAAGAAAAAAGAAACAAAAACAAGAATAGAAAAAATATTTTTTTATCTTCAACCATTACGTACTTTTTTTTTTGCAGAGTACCTCAGTTTTATTCAATATAAAAAGACGGAATAACACATAAGAGCTGTACATGAAAATAACAAAAAATAATTACAGACAAATCTTTATTAAATATTATCACTAAGCAACTTATTAGTATTTGTCAAGCTTCACTTTCTTTACTGTAGTGCATTAAAATAAAGGTTTTTTTGGCAATCAGTATGCAAAACAAAAACTAAAAAAAAACGAACAGGAGAAGAAACAGAAAAGAAAATTATTTGTATTCTAGTAATAGATAGCTTTTTAACAAAAAAGGAACATGCACAATACATTCAGATGGATCGGCATGCCATAACGTCGTTCCACTACAGATGGCCTCCTACGCTGATAGCCACAAACTGCGGTTACCACGACTTACAACAATTATATTCCTCACTTGCATAACCAGTAACATAACAGTAGGAACGTGGTGGACAATTTGGTTCCATACCGTTACATACAATTACTTTACCAGAAGATTCATCTCGTGCCGGCTCGTTACCCGGTGGACAGGTCCCGTTACCTGACCGAGTCTTTAAACTTTCCTTGTTACCTCCACTGCCAGAACCAATTGGCCGTGGACGTTTCAGAGGTGGGCCTGTAATTCGTGGACGTGGTGTACGTGATGTATGTGCACTTTTTCTAGATGTCGAACTAGACCTTCTTTGTGCAGAACTTCCAGATGTGGTTGAGATGTACTGATCGCTGTAGTCAATTTCTAAAAGCCGTTAGAGATTGCAGTCTCACAAAAAAAGTAAAAAATAAATGAAACAAGTAAAAAAACTCATGTGAGAAATATTCATATTAAGCATATGGCTCTTGCAAAAACCACTTCACTCTTATATAATTAAAGATTGTATAGCAACAGCAAGTTGTTATAAAGCCATCCAAACTTCAATTACTACAGCATCGAGATAATTTTGTGCAACAATTAATTTTGATGTTCCGTTAATAATAACAACTTATTTTTAGCAGTTGTTTTCGTTTGCAGTAATGTAGAAAAAGAAAACAACTTTAAAAAAAAATTTTTGGAAATGCGTGAAGTCAAAAAATTTTTTGATACAATTAGTAAAGAATAAAACACACCGAAAAATACTAGGCTTGTGTTCTTTTTCGCTCTGAATACAAACTATAAGCTTTTTTGAAAAGTTGCATAGCTGTTGCAGTCAGCAAAGTGAGACAGAAATTGAGTAAGTGTAGTGAAAGTTGTAAATTAGGTGGTGTTGTGATGTTCTTATTATAGGTCGCTGACCGGTTAAATGTTTACAAAAAAAATAGTATTACGATATGCATTCCCAAGAAATGTACCTTGCTTTACCTGTTAAAAAGTCTAAACAGATTGGCTTTACAGGCAAGTACACTAATGATCTCCGACTACAAAAATAGTTTTGGCAGAAACAGATAAGTTTCTGCTATCTTCTAGTAGAATTACGTTGTTTAAAGCAATTGCAAAAAAACTTAAATTTTTGTGCTTTAATCAGAAAGAAAAAAAATACAATTTCACCAGATTTATACCTACCTTCTATTTGGATACAAACTCCATCTCTTTCAACGTAACCAGATTTGCATTTACACTTGCCAACAATACAAATCCGATTATCGGTACATTGGGTATCATCATCACATTCATTCTGACCTGAACTTTTTTTTTTTTTAAGAAGATAAATTAGAAGTGCATTCATTAAATGTCTTTTAGCGCTTCTATCCTTGCCGTTTTTATTTTGAAATATAGTGTCATAGCAGAATTACCAGAAAAAATAAGTGATTCATAAAACGACCGAAAGATGACCTGAAGTTCTGGTAGGCATAATTACAGACGTGGTAGAGGACTGAGTTTCAAGAACTGTTGTTGGGTGCGGCACAGCGACTGTTTGTTTCGAAAAAGTTGTTAAATGCATAGTTGTTGCATCAACACAGTTATCATCACGAATCATCTGATTGTCCGTACAACGACACACACCGTCCACACAGCTGTGAATCATTGTATTAAGCAAAGATATTGCCACTTACATTCATAATGCTTTTTATTACTTCTTTTAACGAAGAAACGAAAAACAATGTAAAATAATGTTTGAATATAAGCACTTAAAACAATTTAAAATAGTTCCTGTTGGTTTATACTAAAAGTGAAAGAGACATCTAAGCTCTAACTTTGAACCTCCTTTACAAGCTCGATCTCTATTACACTGTTCTCCTGGTGCTACAAAAACAAGTTGTGTCGGAGGAGCGGTTCTAGCAGTTGATAAAGCTGAAGGAAGCTTGACACATTTGCCACTTATCGCAGCGTAGCCAGCTTGACAACGGCACATCCCTTGATAGCATCTAAAATTTGGTTACGTATTCGATCTCAATTACTCTTGGCGTAGCAAACTGTTCTCTACGTAACTGTCTTTCCCAGTACTGCGTTAAAGATGAAGACACAAAAAACTCTAAATTATGCTTTCATTACAGCAAAAAAAGTGGCTTTTTAAAATAATGAACTTTTGGCCAAATTTCTAGTTATCAGAAAAATAAGAAAGTTAAGTACGCTATCTAATTGACATACCTCAGAAATCCTATTATTTATTTAAACTTTAAACTTTAAAGTTTTGTTGGGTATTTTTGTATGATACTGCAACAACTTTTCATTAATAACCCTACAGTAATTCAAAAAAAAAGCGCGTTTTAACGAACATAGACTGATCAGTGCATCTCGTTTCAGCATTACACTGTTGCCCTGGTCCAGCTTTCTGCAGTTGTAATAGTGGCTTCTCATCACTTTGAATGCATGTGTGCTCTCTAACCACCGGCTTTTCTGGAGGGCAAAGGCAAGTCTAAAAAAATAGTTTGACTAGGCCATCTGTTCCAAACTATAAGCACTTTAACCTTTAACAATGTTGAAATAAGTTAATCGACAAATTATTGGATTTCAACAGGACTGTCCAATTAGTTATGCGTACTTTAACTACTTGTCTAATGGACTTTACAAGGCACGATGTGAAATACAGTAACCACACTACTGTACGGTTAGCATTCGTACAAATTAAGTGAGTTGTATTGCATAAATAGACTTAGAACATTAAGCCATGCATTGAAATAATGACAGAAAAAGTTGTTTACTGACACCTGTTCTTTCATTTGGCAAAAGCTTACTTTAATGCAGACTGGCAGCTTTTAAAAAAAATTCTCTTCAAAATGCTGGTCTTTTAAAAGCTTGTCTAGTTAATGGAAAAAAAGATTGATCAGCAAGAAAAGTTAATGGTTGTCACTATAACGGCATTCTGAATTTGTTGCAGCTAGTGATAAAAGCCTGTTATATAAACATGAAACGACTTAACTTTCGAGGAAATGATTATCACAACTGACTATAATAAGCAACAAAGATTGCTTTGAGTAGCGTTAATGTAAAACTCTCAAGCGCTTTCATTTTGCAAGCTTTAATAGTGCGGCATTATAAAGATTAGTATTACTTGTTTTTACAAGTAGTAATTTTGTTACAAATGGTATTATAAATTGAAGAACGAGTGGGTAAGGAATTAGTTGTTAACGGGTTACCTTGCGATTAAGGAAAATGTCGAAGGTGTTTTCTACCTTTTTATCCAAGCAGTATGAGCCGCCTGTACAAGTTTCGCCGTTACGACACGATTCATTCGGACGAGCAAATCGTTGCCCTAAAAATCATGTTTAGCTGTCAGCTTTTAACACGTGTTTTAGATTAGTAAACGTAAGGTTTTGTAGAAGATTTTTTCAAAACCATTGCACAGTTATCTAAATTTTATATGACCACTTTATTACTCCAATATGTAAGCTAAATAATAAGCCTGTCTAAAGTAACTGCTATGAGCATTACTCTCAAAAAAAATTAGACATTTCAAAAAAAATCTGAGAAGACTTGAGCGTCGAACTAAGCAAATAAAGCGGTATTTTGAAAGCAATTATTAACGTTCGAGTGGTTAAGCTGCAGAGATAACGGAAGAAAAGCTGAAAACTAACAACAACTTTATAATTTTTTCAATTTGACATCGCTTTTTCTTACCACATTAACAATTTTGAAGTTAATTTGCATAGTTAGGTACGAATGTTATTGCTTCCAGATTCAATTAGTATGACAAAGTAAAAGGTTAAATTCTGATATAAATACAATAAAAATTCGTGTGTGTGTAAACACCCAATACAGTTAGAAAGATAAAGTTGGAAAGGAATATAAATGTGATAGGTAAGAATCAACAGTTATTGTCCTACATGAAATTATGTGAAATAACAGAGATGGTAGGATAGAAAGATAATTAATAGTTACAAATTTTTAAGTTTATTGAAATCCCTTTCCGTTCTTTACTAAAAACATTTTTTGAAACAGTGGTTCCATTTTTTTCAAGCTCAAGTTTGTTTGTTTGGAAATTTTGTTTCATGCAAATTGAACCATTTCTCAAATACAAAAAAAAAAGTTGCAGAATTGTATTAATAACTTCAAGATTCCTAATAAACAAGCTAACGACTCTAGCAATAATACTGATTTGAATTTTCCGCTAACAGTGAAATTGACTACTTTGACATGATTTTACAGCGTTTAAAAACTCCCCGCAAGAAATTCAATCTGCTAATGGTAAAACTCATGTTAGTAACAGAAGAGTGTTGAAATAACCATTTGCAATCCGAGGAAATAAAATGCGACTACCGCTTCCTACTGACAAAAGGAGTACTGTCATTCTAACGTTTCTATGAAAATAAAAAAATAACTAAATAATTGCCATGACACCATAAAAATGTCTTTAGTATTATTTGAAATAAGCAGCTATACAAAATTATTGCAAAAAAATTTTTCCCAAATTTACTCAAAAGCACATTGAATTGATGATTAAATCAAAACCACAGCAAACAGTTTTAGAGCAAAAGTACTACCAGTAAGAACGCCAAATATAAGGTTCGTTTTGTAAAACCACTAACTCACCTTGCATATAACCTTTGCTTTTCCGTTTTACACTTGTTGGTGGTGGAACGCATTGATCATTATGCAGAACAAAGCCAGGAGGACATTGACATGACATGTTAATACAAACAGTGCCACCACGACAGTATAAACCTACAGCCGTACACTCATCCATAGTTTGTGTAGTTTTAGGCCGCTCAATAGTTGTCAATTTTTTGAAGTCAACAAATCGATCTATATTAGCAACGTTTGAAGCAGTAGTTAGTACATGCCAAGGTTTCGTTGCTGGAAATGTTGATGTAGTTTGAGTACTTATTTCAACTGGTGGGGGCCAAGGAGATGTAGTCCACACTATTTCCTCCTTTGGAATTTGAAGCAGTACATCGGTTGCAACATTAAATGGTGGTCTTGTGCCCGCCGTTGGCCTATAAGGAGGTCGCGTGTGCGGCTGCATTACACTCGATATATGTGCCGTTAGTACAGAGGAAGCGTAACCTTCTCTATAATCACCTGTAGAAGGTGGACTTGTTGTCGGATTCGGTTCACACCGTGCAGTTGTTGGAGAAGCTGTGTAACCAGCGGGACAAATGCATATTCCCTCTACGCACATGGAACCACCAACACACTCATCCAGTGGTCCTAGAAACAGGGACCAAAATTAATCACGTACACGGTGTAATTTTCAGAAAAGAAAGCGGGTAAAAAAGATAGTAGTCTTTTTGAATTTTTTCATCCCATAACTCAGTAGTCCAAAAAAGGTAAAAGGTACAGACGAAAGTATTACGCAGTGACGATTAGCGCTTACCACAATTAGTTCCGGGAGCTGCTTTACGAACAACAATAACGCTTTTCGTGTCCTGTGAGCTGTAACTGTCTGTCGTCCGTGTCGTTGATGGCGAAGTTACAGGCAAATAATTTTGTGATCTGGGTAAATTTTCAAATTGTGATTGATATGGTTGAGACGTCGAGTAAATCTAAACACAAAAAATTTGCAAATACAAATTCATTATGATCTGTCAGAAGTTTGCCACCTGCGAGTAAAAAGATAGATTCCTTACTGTCGATGATTTTGGTTGCTGGTTGTGTGATCTGATACATAGTCCCTGTGTCACAGTCATTGTTGGGTCTGGGCACACGCACCATCCGTCTCGGCAAATAGAACCTCCGGTGCACTCTTCAAAATTGTAACAACTACCTCCAGGAGGAGCATAGATTTTTTCACTCCCTAAAAAGCCAATTTAACCGGACTGGAGTGTTATAAACCAAAAGAGAGGCACTATCCGCATGCATGGAAGTAAAGTGAAGCGTTTTCAAACTGAGGAGTGCAGCAAGGCATAACGTAACACAAGTGCAACAAGCAAAAGTTTCAACTTGCAACAAATACTATAAAATACTGTTCATAATTTTATCACTGACAAAAATTAAAGTTTTTCAATTTTGTAGGCATAGCTGGCAAACTAAATTATTTTTTGAATAAACTTGCCGATTTGAAAGTTCAAATTCTACTGAGTAATATTTCTTTTACATATATAATTATCACAAATGCGGTCTCAAAAGCCGTAAGAAGGGAAATGAAAGTTTTATTTCACAATTCTGGTCAAATCTTGAACAGAATGAATAAGAATTTTTGCCAAGCAAAAATTACTTTTCATGAGCACCACATGACGGGACAATCGGCGGCAGTATTAAAGATGTTTCATGCATAAATTCTCCAAAAGCAATTGTAAAACTCGCATTTACCTCTCTTTCGAAGGCGTTTTTGCTTAGCTAAAGTTCTCGAGAAATGTTTCTGAGCTCGATAATCACAGGAGTAAAACATAGCCTTTCTGCCGTTTAAGCATTTACATTTGCGATCACGGCATTGTGAATGGTTGATGCAAACAGCATTCTCGTCACACTCTTGTCCTGGATATCTTAGAAAGCTGACTGCAAGGCAAATACCACTAACCATTTTGAAACCTTCGAAACATTCACAAGTTTTCTGCAGTGAACAATACGAGTTCTTTGGACAAGATTTCCTCGTCTCGCAAATGGTTAAATGCGAATTTACGAGAGTCACTTCACTGCTAGTTGACGTCACACATCTTTTCCCGTTAAAAAAGCTCCCATAAGAACATAAACATTTGTTTACTTTTTTGCTACACTGTGCAAATCCGGCACACAGTTGGCCACTACCACAACGTTCCCCAGGAAAGGCAACCGTTAAACAATAATTGCCAATCTGAGTCCGACTTTTAGGACAAAGGCACCTGCCTCTCACACAAGATGAACCACCAGAACACACCAAGCCTTCGCGACAATAGCTACCTACTTCAACAAAGTCGCTGCTTTTATCTATCGAAATACACTGTTTACCAATCAAGACAGTAGCCAAAGGGCAGACGCAAAGGGGACCTATGTCACCAAGGAATGTGCAGTACGCATTGCCTGTACAGATATCCCCACCGTCACAACTTTCTAAGGGATTCAGGTGCCACTTCAGCCCTTTCTCCAAAGATTTGACAGCATTACCAACGTAAACGCAGGCCCCGTTTTGTAAGGCATAATTTTCAGAGCATATACAAGTGTTATTAGTACAATGCAAACCCTCATCGCATTCTGAAGAGTCAAAGCATTTCTTTTTTATTTCGTTTTTAAACGTCTTTCCTACCACTGTTTTGTTAACGGTCGTCGATGCATGGAGGGGAAATTGTAAAGGGAGAGCGGATGGTGGAAAATAAGGTGGACTAAAGCCGTTTAAAAGATATGTAGAAGCAATATTGTTTAGCCAAAAAGGATATCCTTGCAAAGGTATTAAATTTAAGTTGGGAGAGGAAAAAGGAAACATATTTTGCTGCAGATTTTTTGAAGTCAAAGCTTCATATGGCAAAGATGATGCAGTATCCAATTCACTTTCATCTTCTACTGGCCAAATATTATTCCGACCTCCCAAAGTACCAGTGTCAAATAAATTCTGAGCTGTATCTACTTGCCTCTGTTCTTCTAAACGTTTCTTGCTGTCATAGTAGCCATCTTGCGATATATATCGCATATCTTCATCCTCTATTGTATTTTCAATGTTGTCCTGCCCAAAGTCAGTCCGTGGAAATAGAGGAAGACCAGTGTTAGATAAAGCAGGTGATAGAACACATTCACCGTTGGCTTTTTCGTATCCAAATTCGCAATAGCAATAACCGTTTCGGCACAGAGCAAATCTTCCGCAATCTTCGTTTCTGTTGCAAGTGATACTCTTCTCGTGAGAGATGCAGATACCGTCCGTGTAAGCCATTCCTTCAGGACATGTGCAAAATTGCCCCCCGTTTCTGCAACGCGGGGTCACAGCACAACCGTCACCATCTTTACAAGCTTTGGTGGTTTTTAAGTTCCTTGACGGTTTGCATCGAAATCGGTCCTCATCAAAACCTTCTTTGCATCTACATATGCCTTTCACACACAAAGCTTCAGTGGCACACTGTTCGTTAATTTCACAGCCACCACCAAGAGGAACCGATCCTAGCAGACAAACCCCATTAATGTCGATGAATTCTTCTTCACAAACACAAACGTTGTCCACACAGCGTGCACCGTAAGAACAAGTTCCCTCTGCACTGCACCTTCCACCAGGGAACCCGATGTAAGAATTCATATTCTCTCTTTCAGTGCTCGATAAGGCACTCAAGGAGGCCACCCCTGTGGAATGGACGGAACCAGAACCGACAAGATGTATAACCGGCAAATTGTTGTTGCTTGCATTCATACTCCTGTCCTTTTCTAGTTTATTGAGTTTCTCCATTATTTTAAGAAATTCTCTATCGCTTTTGCTGATAACAACGCAATTACCTTTCTCCTCTTTGTAACCTGGAGGACAGTTGCACTTGTTAGATGTACAGTGCAGACTACCTTCACTACATGCAGTTTTGCAAGGAACTGCATACGCATTCGATTCAGCGTTTTCAGAGCCCAGAAGTAAACGAAATAGATTTTCATCAAGGACGTTGATAGACATTCGATGTGCTGTTAAATACTGGTTAATGTTTCCTTGACTTTCGTTTGGCTTACTTGCACCTGCTAGCACAGTTTTCCAAAGGTCACGAGCAAATGAAGGGGAAGAAGAACTAATCTTACTTTCTTGTTCAAGTGAAAGTACACATTCCCCTTCATCATTAATCATTTCAATATCCCGACACTGACAAAGATTATCAATACATAGTGACCCTTTTGTGCACGTTTGTCCCTCTCCGCAACTATCTCCTGGAAGAGCGTTTTTAAGATAAAGGTGAGATATACATTCTTTTCCATTGGTGCTCATTCCCAGTTTACACGCGCATTTGCCGTAAATGCACTGGGATTCGCCAATACAGTCTAATCCCTCTAAAGAGTTACACTTACCCCCCGGTAACACTTCATACACAGCTTTCCGGCAAACTCCGTTGATGATTGTTTCTCCCTGTCTACACCGGCAAAGTCCTCTGGCGCATTCTGTCCTGTATGGACATTCAATAGTCAGTCTACAAGGAGAGCCAGGAGATTTTGTCTTTCTTCCGGTAACTCGCAAGCCCTTATCCTCCTTCCTAGAAACCTTATTCGGTATGCATTTCCCGTTTGAGTTTTCGCCTCCAGGGCAAACGCATATGGCTTGTAGACATACAGATCCTCCAGAACAGTTCGAGTCTTCTTTACAACATTGACCAGGAGCTTTTTTGACAACAGCCTCTTCCGACAAATCACATCGACTAGTTTCCGTAATATTTTTTTGTGTTTGAGCCTGCACTTCCGGCCCTTTGATTGATGTTCCGCCAACAGAGATGTCTTTCAGTTTTTTACACTGTCCATCAACAATGCGATATCCTGCAGAACACATACAAACACCAAAACGGCAGAAGCTTCCAGAGGCACATTTCTGTGGACCTTGACAAGGATCACCAGGTTGAGCTGTTTGCAAAACGCATCTTTTTTTCTCTAACTGTCTTCCAGGTGGACATCGGCACAAGGCTAAGTCACATGACGATCCACCCGTGCAGAATTGACCATCTGAACAACTACCTCCTGGTTGTTGATGACACTTTCCATCGATATTCTTTGATCCATCGCTGCATGAACACACAGAACCTATGCATTTGGAACCGCCAGTACAACGATCTTCACTTCTACATTGGCTGTTTAGTGGCTTGAAGGTCCCATCCGGTAGTATGCAGCTAAACCCCTAAAAATTTTTTTCCATACGTTGCTGAAAAAACTGAAGAACGGTAATTTGAAGACACACAATTACCTGCAAATTTTCAGAAGTACCAAGTTTTGCAATAAAATACAGTAAATTACCCTCTTGATTAATCCATGAGTGCATTCGCAAAATGAGTTGATGCAGGATGCACCTTCTCCACAGTCATCGTCAGTGAGGCAAAACTGTCGGTCTTTTACCTCATTATTAACAGCCTCTTCTTCCATCTCGGAGCATTTACCGATATCAGTACATACGCATTTGCCTTGCAAACAAATGGCATTCGGTTGGCATTCAATACTGCTACCAGCACAAGACGAATTAACTTGTAGATAACGTTTTTCGCACCTATCATTAATCTTGTAATAACCATCAAGACAATGACATGTCTGGTTAAGGCAAATTCCCTTGCCGTTTGAGCAGATGTACTGGTCAGGCCAGCATTCTATGCTGTCACTACTTCTTTTTACCTTTTGAACAGTCTGCATACCACTTTTCTTTGCTAAGCGGTTACTGAAAGCTTCAGCATCTTTACGATTATCTAATCTTAAGTCGTGTCGATGACAAATCCTGCCATTCCAAAAATTAGGTGGATGACAGACACATTTGCCTCTGAAACATGTTAAGCCGTTTGAACAGTTTTTTGCGATTTTGCAGGATGTTTGTGGTGCTGTTGTTGAAAAAAGATCTACTTTTTTAACACACCGCATACGGTGCTGGATTAGTGTTCTTGTGCATCGGCATACAGAATCGATGCAAACTGATCGTGCAGAACAAGGTTTCATTCCAGAGGACCTACTACATGCATTTCCTGGATATCCAACGCCTGAAAAATAACGTGCAAGTGTCCATTGTTTATGCATGCAGCTTCAGGAAGGAAGGTAGGATAGAACAAAGCTAAAGAGGTCAAACATTTTTAAGTTACTCAGGAAGGGTTGCATTGAAAAACAAGAAGTTAGAACACCGCGCCTGAATACCTGAAACACAAGTTTGTTCAACAGCTTTATATCCCTCTGGACAGATACATTCTCTTTTCAGGCATTTTGCTCCCGTGAAAGCTGTTGCACACTGAATGTCATGCTGGCACCCACTTTGGCCCGGATAGATAACTGCAACTTATTCAAAGATAGGAAAAAAAATCGTAAAGAAAGAAAAATTAGTTTTTTTGTAATTAGTCTTATGAAATGACTGATGTCAACAGCGAATTATCATTTTAAATGCATCCAGACTAGAAATTCAGTTAAGTAAAGTTATTGTAATAACAGAAGTACAGCTAATTTACTGATAGAAACAGCAGCAAGGTAATTTCTGTTTCTAGGTATGCGCAACGAAACTAAAACCTCATAAACAAGTGAAAAATTTAGAAAAAAGCCTGAAAATATTTTAATAAACTTTCTTCTGCATGCACCCATCAATTTAGCTCACAAAGATGGTTTTACTAAAAAGAGTAACCAAAATCATAAATGTTCTTCAGAAAAATTTCATTAAAGCTTCTAGTAAATCGTAGCAGTAGCCGGAAACCAATTTGATTATAGATGATAAAATAAATAATCAGCCTCTGATTAAAGTGAAAAAAATTAAACCATATTAGTTTTTAAAAGAAAACAAAAAATACTAAATGTTGTTTTCTTCTTCCCTATACAATGAAGTAAAAAAGGATTAAAAGAAAAAGAACCTTTTTCACACCGCCCGTTCACATTCACATGCGTTGACAGACACTGACATGTTGAAGGAACTGTATTGGCTTTGCAGTATGCGCCAATCATGCAATCAGTATTGACAGAACAGTTTTCCCCAACTCCCGCTTGCTTACTTCCTCCGAACTGTAAAAAGTTGTTGATGCTTTTGCTGTACGACTGAGTTTCACTGGTCTGCTTCGGCAAGCTCGTATATTGCGAATATGTTGGCGGTACTGCTGTTGATTGTAACTGGTATTGTTGCGTTACTGGTTTAGGCTGCTGCGAATTTGCAATTATTTGTGCATTCAATATTGGTTGAGGATTTATTATCGGTTGAGGATTTGAAATTAGTTGCGGACTTAAGACCGATCTAGGATTTGATATTGGCTGAGGATTTAAAACCTGCTGAGGATTTACTATTTGCTGCGGCTTCAATACTGACCGGAAATTTGACATCGGCTGAGACTGAGGATCTGAAAAAAGCAGAAAAAAATATATTTTATAACGGACAGTTATCACCTACACTTGGAATTCTGCTACTCATTGCAGCTTTTACAGGTTAGCCGAAGCAGTTACAAACCTCTTAATTCTTACGCGTTGTTGCACGTGACTTGGACATGTTAGACTTACGTGGTGGTAATGCTGAATATTTGTTATGAGTGCGAACGCAGGAATCTCCATCAAGATCCCATTCAGGAGGACACACGCAAACAGGTATTACAGCATCACAAACTGATCCACGGCTACAAATCTGGCCATTGTCGCATAACTCGCCTGGCCCTACAACGGATTCGATGAAGCCTGGTTGTTTCAAAACTTTACTTTGAAGTTGAAGGCCAACTGGAGTTTTCGTAATATGCGAACTATTTTGCTTGTCACAAATTACCAACCAACTTCCTTCACCGGCCGTCTTAAGAAACATCTTCCTTCATGTTGCATTAACGGTGGAACACATTGGCATAATCCATTGACACATGAGGAATCGTAATCACACTCTGCTAGATTTCCGCAAGCTGCTCCCAATCCAACTGAAAAGTTGTTTAGGTGCTCGCAAAACAGCAAAAATGTTAAAGTTAGAGGTGCTGCAAAGAAGTTCTTTACCGATTTTAATTACAATAATTACAAGGAAACTAGAACTTGTGCTGCCTAACACAAAGAGGGAGAACTTCTTTTTTCTGAAAAAAAATTGAATAGGCAAAAACAGTTTTTCACGGTTTATTAGCGATGTAAAAAAATAAAATGAAGAAAACGGAAATAAAAACTGATAAATTAGCATTAAGGACAAACTATAATCTTGAGGAACAATCTGATATTGAAAAAGGTACACTTAGTTGGACAGTTAGCTAATCATCAACAATTTATTTTTTTAGCCTTTGTTAAGCCAAAAACTACCTAATAAACTCCTGACAGTTCAGGCAAATTGTTTAGCAGTTGATTGTATAAGATCCACATGAAAGAAATTATATCTTTTAAAGATGGATGTAGTTTTTAGTAACAAACAAAGAAGAATTTTACATGCATGAAGTTAATTGTCTATCGCACAGACCAATTAACCCAACTCTTACCTGTCAACAGTCACTATCTTCTGTTATTGACAATATTTTTAAACTGTTTGAAATACAGAAAAGTAGAAAAACAGATTTGTTAGATTAAAGAGATATTAAATATTATTATAAATGATAAATTAGTTTTTAAGGAATAAGATAGCAGAGGGTT